GTAGCTAAATTATGGAGGTCGGGGGGGAAACTGGGTGCCTTTGAGGTCACCTTGAAAAATATCTCGTAAAAAGTGAAAAAACCAGACTGGTTCAAAATAAACGCAATATTTGTTCATGGGATAGAAGTCTCGACTTTTACAGTAAAAATCAGGGAAATCGGTGAAGGTCCGAAATTTGCCTTATCCGTTCTTAGGCGGACAGCCTCTTAAAAGGCTTTTGTCAAGGATTTGTCTCTACCTTGTTCATAAAAATATTAGAAAGGCGACTGCCATTTTCGTGCCCATGGTCGTACCATGTGTTTGAAGGTGGTGCTTTTCATAAATGGTAGGAATTTTCCTTGAGAATTAGCCTAAGCGCTTGTTTTAGTAATTGTGTAGAGATAGGAGTTCCGTTTCTGTAGAATATTTCGTATGCTTTGCATACAGTGTCTATTCACTCCTCTTGTGGTATATTTGTATATAAGCGTAACGTCCATTGAAACAAGTATAACGTTCTCCGGGACTTTCGTATTTTCTATAAAATTGACGAAGTCTGTAGTATCCTTAAGATACGAATTTTGCTTTTGTGCTATCGCAGGGGTTGGACATTGCGGGGTTCGACTGTAATGACACGTTAATGTTGTTGTTGTTTTTTTTTGTCTTTTCAACCGATTTTTTTTTCTATCCGCATTTTTCCATCCGCAATTTTTCATCCGCATTTTTCTATCCGCATCCGCCATCCGCATCTATCCGGTCCGCGTTTTACAGAGACCCGAGTGATCGAGATAAAAAAGAAAAACGTGTCTGCAATGCGTTTCTTTCAGCGGGAAATCCTTGACGCCTTGAGGTTCCCCGCTGTCCCATTGGTTTGCGGTTTCATGAGTCGACATAATTTCCTGGCGTGGCGCGAGTTGTTAACGAACCTTTATGAGCTAAAATCTCACATTTGATTTTGGAAGGAATGCATCCACTTTGAGTGAATTTATAGGAAATTAAGATTTGAAAGATTTTCGTCAAGTTTCGTCAAAACGTTCCAGGTATAATGACAGACGAATCTTTGTCGGGAAATTTTGATATTTGAAATATTTAAACCGTGGCGTCCATTTACGCAACGCGCCTCAGTATATTTTAAGCTACTCCAACTTTAGATATGCCGATATCTAGACTACCAATTAGAATATCGAAAGGGCCTGTCAAAGTTTAGTTCGTTGACGCCTTATGAATAAGACTGTACAGCCATTTTGCTTGTGCTGCGGCATGCGATACCCTCAGTATAAATTGAAAAGAAGAATCCTAGGTCGTTTCACGCCTTACCGGCTCCAAATAATTCCTAAAAGGAAAACTCACTTATATTTTTATAGTAAACTGCATTTATCAAGCTTTCTTCTGATGCATAGTTTATTAGGATTTTAGTAAACGTAACTCACGTACAAAAGAAATCCGCGAAGGTGACTAGTGAAGTAACCTTAAAGCAAACTTACTAACTGTTTTTGATAGGAGGGTGGGTGATATAGAAGTCAGAATTCGGCAGTCAGAAAAAAAGCCATTTCGAGCGAGCTTCAATTAACCTCACGCAATAAACTAGGTAATTAGCAATCAAAAAGCCCAAAGGCCAATCAGGAAAAAGGTAAAGGAACCAGTGAAAAATCCGAGAAAATACACATGTAGTACACTTTGCTAACCTCAAGCTCGAAAAAAAAAAAATTAAAGGAAAAAAAAACATTACGCCGTACCTGGTGTAAGTTGGGCATCTGACTGGTTGAAAGCATTAATTAATTCCAATTGGCCAGGTCATAATTTCAGACATTGCAATGCAAAGGCATTGCACACCACAAGCCGGCTTAAGAATCCAACGATGAATCAAAGAAAAGACACAGTAAGCCAAATTAAAGACAACTGACAAAGTCGTACAGTAATTGTGTCCACGCACGAAATCAAAGGACACTAAAGCGCTCGGCCTCAGCAAATGATTTTCCAAAATTTGCACAGCCTGTGAGGATGCTGAATTAGACTTTTACAAAGGCATAATTTTTCCTGGGGATTGTTTCATTCTCCTGTGCTATTTTCTCAGTTGCATCCTATTAACAAGGAATAACTGAAACAATAGCAAAGAGGAATATTCAACACACATTTCGTTGAGTCATAAATTTTTAATAGGTGTAAGATTTCGCAATAACCAGTTAAAAAATATGGCTTGCTATCATGATGAAGTTCATGCTCTTCTTAAGACGAACAATTTTAACAGGACGACATCTTGACGTGACTGACATGACGAATTTTTTTACAATGTTTTCAAAAGTCAATTTTTAAAAGTTCGTCAGTCGTGGCTTTTTCAGTGAGTATTTCGACGCAAACGTTGAATCATCAGTTCTTCTATCTTCCTGATGTCTTCCTGACGTCATAAAGATCTTTGGAAAGTGCTCGGAAAATTAGGTAGTGCTCATGTTTAAATTAGCAGTAATCTAATGTCCTTTTAACCCTTTACATAAAAAAAGAAAAATCCAAAGAAAATTCCACAAATTTCAAATTCATTGCAAAGAGAGCGAGAGGGAAAAAACCTCTTGCTTGTTGTGCCAGATAAAGTAAAGCTTTTTCTTTGGCGAATTTTCAAGAAGAATTTTACGTGATAAAAGAATTTAAAAGTATTTTAACCATCATATCACTTAGCTATATCATGTCACTTAGCTAGTTTCCTAAATGATGACTGAATATGTATTGGGCTCTATTGATAGAAATTACTCGGTATTAATCGGAAAAAGAGTTTTAATCCTAGTAAAAAAGAAGACAGATGAATCGAGATTTTCTAACTGTTTACAAAAGTGACAAGAATGGAAGTAAGTGTAATGTCAGCTTTGATGGACTGACAAATATGATTTAAATTGATACAAGCACTTGTAACATGTTCCTCACAAAGGAACAAACTAAACTGGATGAATAGACGACAGTGAAAACACTGCGCCAACTGAGAACAAAGGCAGTCTCAAACAAGAACATTAAAAATTTGTTTACAATCATGAATACCAATTGCAGATACCATTTCCTCCACCTAGTTTATAGCTCGAGCAGACTCCACGTTTTCATTTACATGACAACATACGCAGGTAAATATGAGAGGTGACGCACATTTAGGCCAATATTTATCTGTTTTTCAACGCCATTAGAATATCATATTACCTTTACAGGTCACGTTTCTAACCAAAAGGACTCAAAGATAATCATAAAAGACACACCATTCCGTGAAGCCGTGCAACCTTTCAAACGGCTTTTCGCCCGAAGCGGTTCCTCTTATCGAAACAGACCTCTCTTTATTAGTTCCACGAAGGATTTTAATTCATTTTCCAGTGGCCGGATTTACGTAACAATCGCTCTCTCGAACAAAACAACAGCACAGTAATCTACCTTTCATATCACACCAGAGCGCAATATTTCATTTGCAGTGATAAACTGCATTGTGTACAGTTTTCAAACTACAGCATCTTGCATTGAGGCTTCAACTACAAAGCGCACGGGTCTTCACCTTTTTCCGTGCTCGATGGCGAAAAGGCTTAGACGACTGAAGGAGCGATTCTTGTCCAAGATTCACCGGCCCTTTGGCTACAAGAGAGTTCAGAAGAATACCGATAGCATTGAGTGCAGTGAATCCCGAGCCAACTGCGAAACGACTTCCAAGAGAGAGATCTTATATAGCAGTCTCGGTGCGGATCAGGAGACTCACAACACCCCAGAATGCTCACGTCTTCAGAGCAAGGGCATCTCTCCTCGAGTATCCGCTTGTAAGGAAAATGGCACTGTTGAAATTACAGAGGAAGACGAAGTTGAAGAGCTTTCGCAAATAAAGCAAACACAGTCGCAAAGGAGAAGGCGTTCTTCGGCTTTTCAGCGATTGGTTAGCTGGGTAAAACCAGAGAATAGACGGCATGCGATTTGCGAGCAAATGGAAAGAGAAATTGAAACACAAGGTGTGAGTCTAAGACAGTATCGAAAGTTTCTGGCAACAACGTACATCTTGCACGATTTAAAAATGCTGTAAAGAAGCTTGATTGTACGACCACGTGAATTGTGTCTACCGGCTTAAGTGAGAGATGCAGCGACAGATGGGTAAAAACATTTAAATTTGAACAAGTGAGCAAAACTAACCTCCTCACCTACTTAAAGTATTCACCAAAGTCTAATAAAGATCGCATCGCGTGGTGGATCTCTAAGTTGGAAAATTGAAGATGTTGTCAATGGCGGGTAAAAGAGTGTACAAATTCCCTAAAAGAAATGTGGAATATAATCAACAAATCCTCGTTCTTCACACACACGAGGAATTTATAACGGGAAGCGTGGGCCTTCGACGAGAGGAAAGAAAAAAGACCAAATATTAGCGTGCATTAAGGGGATACATTTTAAATTTGTTGTCTGTCTGAAATGAATCAATAATCAGAACTGATTTTGATGTTACAAAGGAATTTTGTGGCGCAGATCGAAGCGTGCAAATTGTCAGGGATAGGACGGTGTATTTCGGAAGTTATTCAAAACAAGAAGCACCTCAAGATCCTGATTGTAAACACAGAGGAACAATATGCTAATAGTTCGCTTTTCGACAAGATCAAAAGAGCAGCTGTAAAAACCACGCGATTCAGGGTGCGCCGTTGGTAGGCTCTGATCATGATTACGATTGATTTATTTGTTCATAGTTGTCTTGTTTTTCAATAAACTGCACGACTCGATTGAGAACGAATGTGTTTGCGGTTTGAAATATTGTTAATAATACAAAAACCGTATGTTCACTTGAATCGCGTTAAAAAAGTAGTCAAACAAATGGGTCTTTCTTACCAACTTTAATCTCCTCAGTGTCTCTGCTAAATCCACTATATTCCCGTTTATTTTGCTTTCCCAGTGATAAATCGCAAGGTTTTCGAAACGTTGCTCAAATAAAAATCATAATTGGGGCAAACAAATGATTTCAGTTTGATTGTTATTATTGGCAAATTTGGGAGGAAATTTCAATTAGGCATATCATTTTAATACTTGCTGGGGTCAATTTCCTGTGTTTTTACTTTCTAAGACATTTCTATCTATCAATGTATTGATTGTGCTTATACAAATACGGCTAATCGCATGGATTTCTGAGAATTTTATCCTGATATCGGAGTAGAAAATACAGAGTCAATATATTTTTCTTTCTGTCGCAAGATGAAGGGTGGCTGCGATATTGCTTGTTTGATCTACTGTAATGAAAGATACTAACAAAAGATTAAGCAAACGAAATCAGATTAGTTTACCACTTCAAATTTTATCCGTGCAGTTCAATTGGTTTTTTAACTCCGGCGGTTTCTCCAGTCTAGCCTGAAAATAGAAAACAGACAAATTTAGCAATATCAATTTCTACATTTTTTTTTTTTATTGATTTCAAACACCTTGGAGAATAAGCTTCAAGTATTTCCGGCCCGCAACAAAATATCCTCTGCAATAAAATTATTCCAGGTCTTTTTTCCACATATGAGTAAGATGCAGTTTCCTTTAGACTGACAGAAAGTAGATAAACATGCTGGTGTGTCGTAAGGAATTCTTTCGCTCACTCCTATTGGTGGAATTTCCTGTAGGAAGCTCAACTGACTCAAAAACAGCCGAACCAGCATTGAACAGTCATAGGTTCGACTGCATTTTTTTCAATGTTGTTATTCGCCTGTCGGTTTATACTCATTCTCCGCATCAGGCGACTCGACCTTAAAGTTTACCTTATTTCTTAGTTACTTTACTCATAGTGGATAGTTTATGACAAAACTTGTTGTGGTCATTAGGGAAGAATTTCGTTGATTCTAGAAAATATAAAATAATCATGCAATCGTATACAGCTGTTTGCAGAAAGGTGGTCGGGAAATGCACGCGAGAATCGCGAAATGTAATCTGAGTATCCAGTTATCAATGAATTTTCATAAGTGAAACAAAAATATGGACAAAAGGACGGATGAACCGGAGATGACTACAGCCATGCACGTGAATACGACAGGAACAAAATTAGAATATTACGTTATTCACGGTTTTCTATAGGTCAATTTGAATTCGGTCTTGCTGTGTATGCATCGTTTTCGTCGTTAATTTTTTTGGTCAAGATAAGAATTAAGTCAGCCTTGCAAACAAAATAAATTCATCAACCCGCCAGAATTAGTCCTCTTCCTGACAATGACGTTTTCTCAGATTTCCCTGATATCTTGACGTCGAGGAATTTAAGATGAAAACTACCCACAATGCCTCTGAGGGTTGTCGTGTGCAATTTTTCCGACAAATTTTTAGCAAACGAGGGTAGTTCTCAAAAAAAAAAAGAAAAAAAAAGCAAAACAAAACAAAATCAAAACCCAGGTTTCTGGACTACTATAGGTATATTCACACTGCTACTTGCTATATGAAGGGTAGACTCGGAAAGGCGAGAGTCGCGGTTATGTTTAATTATTTATTTGCGAGATATAATTTTAATTATCAAATGGTTCCATAAAATTTACCATAACCCCAATTTCTCCCTTGAGATAAGCGCAAAATCAAATTAATTTCTAGTAACGATTATTAACGAGTAGAAGTATTCCAGTATTTAGAATCTTAAATCAATTTTAACTAAACTTTACAATAGTTGCTGCCGCAATCTTAATATATACTATCGCTGAGAAACAACAAATGAAAAGGTATTTGAAACCAGAGAACCATAAAACCAGCGCGTGTTACTTAGGGTGTGCAGGTGAGATGGTAACCATGGGACGGTATTAGCGTTATCGGGTTGCCAAGGAGCACAAAGAAGAGTCTTTTCCTGAGGAAGAGGAGGCTCCCGAGCGTGTCTTACACCCTGAGTTCCTTCGACTCAGTTGATGCCCATCGTGTCAATCCAGCTACCAGTCATTTATTTTCGGGTAATCCAATCATTTCGAGGTTAAGAGCGGGCGTTTATTCAGAATTTATGTAACATTTGTCCAGTTCTGTACCTTGCCATCTGAAAATTCACTATATTAAAGGCATTTGTACGACCGAGAGACAATCGTTTGTTAATTAGCTGACATTATATAGAGTTCTCCCTAATAACCAACTGTAACGTATATTTACAAAAAGACTTGTTCATTATCTCGACTGATACACATATTAAACCAAAACTCTGCATGAATTTTCCAACTGCAGCTATTCGGTAATATTCGGGTCGAATAACCACCTCTGATAATCATTTTACAGCCGCAATTTCACCATAAAAATTGATATCGCGCTTATACTACCAAATACTAAAACTGTAAAATGCTAATTATTTACAATGGCCAACCAAGGCGTGTCAATAAATGAAACATGATATCCAAATTTAAGTTCGTGGCTTCTTTCCACTCCAATCCACCATATTCTCAGACCTGTTTTCAATTACAGCTCATCGCAGTGCACTTTCAAAGCTTTGCTGAAGACAAGAGTTCTTCGCAGATTTTCTTATAAGCCCAAGTGTCTCCCTTCATACGCTTTCGACGTATACCTGCGTATGTTCAAAACAAAAATTTCTCATTTGGTGTTCAGTGGAAGCCTTAAAACATTCAGAGGTCGGGTAAAGATTTCTCATAACCCTCTCTCCATTTCATATCCTAGCGACAAATGCTATCTAAAAAATTACGCTAAAATTACGTTACTACATATGATTCACTTCACGAGTAAAAATTGACCTTCAAAATTAATTAATTTTACATGTTCTGAAAATGACTACAAAATCAAATTAACTTAAGATTACTCGAAGACCTTTGCTTTGTTTGAGTATGCAAAGTCGCTGCATAATTCTAGCTCTTGCCCTTGACTCAAATGTCCAAAATATGTTTGCGTTCTTCGTAACTATTATGTGAATTAAGACTTTCGGTTGGGCGAGCGAAGCAGCAAAAAAGTGATGGGACAATCGACTATACATATAAATGCACAAAAATCTTAATGGACGATTTGTGATTGCATACCTATCATTTCCATTTTGGGAATAAGACAAACTTCCATTTCGAACTCGAGGAGGACTTTTCCTCTTTCGTCTATTGATTTACATCTGAGGGCATACCTGCACAGAAAAAAAAAAAAAC